TTTGAAGGTAAAAGAGTAGAAAAAAATTCTCTGTTTGTAAAGAAAGTGCAATGACGTTTTATTATTTTAGATAAAGATAATTAGTATTAAAACAATAAATTTTTTTATGTATAAGTAATCATAAACCTTACGCCACTTCACAGAAAAAGTGAGCTAGATATATCTGGCAGCACACTTGAACAAAACCGAGTAACTCTTTACACAACTAAATCGTGTAAAATGATGATAAAGCTGTTGTATGAAACGCAACAATCAACACACATATTGGCCTCTATGGACTTATGTGTGTGTATTTTTAGATCGTTTTGTATATACTATTCATAGTGTACATCATACCGATAGAATAATATATTTGTATAACATTTGTACTTCAATTATTATGCTTCTTCGCCAAAACGGTGCTTTTATGTAAATAGTAAAATTTACCTAAAACTCTGGCGGAAAAACTTTTACGTTTAATACACGAAAGTTTCATATATTATATCAAATAAGAAATTGAATACAGTGTAGCAATTTATAATGTTTCTACGTTATTTTATTTTTATGTGTGTGTGTGCGTATATGCTATTATAAATATGAGATGATAACTCTATTTTCTGTAAGTTTTCTTCCCTTCTTTCGATTCAAGTGAAAAACGTGTGTTAATGTTTATTTTAATTTCAAACGCGAAATATACATATAACGGTCATAAAAGCCTTACAATGCTTATTAATTGAAATAGTCATCTAATGCTATGCATACGTAGCCATTCTNTATATAATGTGTCATAAGAGGGTACTGGATACCGACTATAGAGAGCTGGAAACCGACGTTTCTTTTTTCACGTTCTGAGTCGTATTTACTGCATCAAAGTGAAAACGCTTCTCTAGAAATAAGTAAATTGTGCTAAGACAGTGCGCTAACTTTTTGGAATGTCAAACTTTCCCAAAACATTTTTTTCTTATACAGTTTCCTTCTATAACTTCACCATATATTTATGTATGTAGAATTCTTTGTAAGCTTATGTACATATATACACTGTGTTAGCGCACTAAGTACGACAAAAAAAGTCTAATTAAACATTCAGATTATGGTTTGACTATCTAATTGATGAGAACAACGTCATAGTGTGATGATGTATATCTGATACCATATACTATTATTATGAATGAAAAACAAGTTCAAAAAAGCATTATATAGCCATTTTCAAAAGCTCTATATAGTTTTGTATATTTATTTGCTTCTGTAGAAGCGCTTTTAATGTTGCGCAGTAAATAAACTTAAAAAATAAAGAAAATTAAGTTATAAAAACATCGGTTTCCAGGTCTCTATTGTCGGTATCCAGTACCCTCTTAAACGTTACTGTCACGCGATAAGACTACCAGAAAATTAGTTCCACTCTGCGTTGCAAATCGACTACTTTGAATTTTTGCGTCTCGCGGAAGAACGAACACCCGCGATGCGATTTCTTGCAGGAAGTCGTTGATTAATATTATCAGCCAAAAAAAGTACTTATGTGCATTACTATGAAGGTAAGATTTTTTGCGGCAGACGCGAACTGTACATCGATCAATCGCGAGAAATGCGCGAAACTTTGCACGTAGTTCTGCTACGTGTCGCGCGACAATCCGGCGCTATTGCAAGTATATCTTACCGCGCACTATTTTACTTCTTGCCATATCGAATCAACATAATACGAAATATATCAAGTATACGAAGTAAGCGGCGCCCAAAGAAAACCGATTAACGTCGAAAAACAGAAGCAACAATGATTTCGGAAAATCGAAACTATCGATAAACTACCATATAAATATTAACACACACTTTTTATAAAAAGTCAAAAAATGCAAAAACCTTACTGAAAATATAATTATCATTTTGTATTTACAATTACACATACCCACACATCCACACATATGAAAAGAAAATTACATAGAAACATTATAAAATACTACAATGTATTACGTTTACACTGTCTTACTTGATATAACATGAAAATTTCGTGTATCAAACGTAAATGTCGTTACGTTATCAAGTGTAAATGCCAAATTTTTACTAAAGATTTCTCTTTTACATAAAAATGTCGTCTACGCACACTTTCAGCGAAAAAACATAATAATTACGACTCACACATTATACATGCATACCAACATATTCTACTATCGATATAATGTACTATGAATAGTATATAAATATACAAAACAATCTCAAAATATACACACATACGTCCTTAGGGGCCACTATGTGTTTATTGTTGCGCTTCATACAATAGCAGTATTGCTACCTCTACAGTCTTTCTTTGTATCTGCTTGGATAACCGTCGACCGTTACTTATCTATTAAACGATCATTTTTAACAGTATTTTACACAATATTACTGTGTAACTAGTGACTTGTTTTTGTACAAATTTGCTGCCAAATAGATATATCTAGCTCACTTCTTCTTTAAATTTGCGTAAGTTTTATGATTACTTATACATAAAAGAATGAGTTGTCTTAACAATAATTATCTTTATCTAAAATAATAAAACGTCATTGTACTTCCTTTACAAACAGAGCACTTCTTTTCTACTACTTTATCTTCAAAATTCGAATATCTATACAACTTGTTACTTTATTACTTCTAACAAATAATTTCCATAATGGAAAGCGACAATACAACTACACCTGAATTGAGAGCACAAATATGTGTAAGTCGTAAGCAAAACATTATACTTTTAAAGAATCGTCTACAATGAAGAGTTGTAGGTCGTAATAGCAAGAAATTGACCAATCACAGACAAAGTACAGAAGAATAATCGATTGTGATTTGTCAATTTCTTACTGTTACGGTCTAAAACTCTCCATTGTAGACGACCCTTAACAGTTTCAAAAAATATATTGAATATCTGTTGCAATTGTAAAGAAATTACACTTTGGTCGCAACAAAATAAAATACATATATCAATGAACAGTAAATATTTCGAACGTAAATAACATTGTAAAACAAAGTAAAGTAAAAAACGTTTGACATTCTTTAAAGTTTCTGAATTCATATAATAGTACTTTAGTATCTGTTACTTTAAAAGATTATCAAATAAAATATCTGTTCAAGATAAATTCATCTCCGACAAGTACACAAGATGCTCCACAACATGACGAAACACGTAATTTCTTGTGTGATAAATGTAACGAATCATTTACCAGCATACGTCAATTAAAAATGCATAACCATCGTATGCATATGGATGAAGAAGAAGATTTCCTCTGTAAGGTAAGAAATAAAAAAACACCTTATTATATCTGTTACATACAAACATTAACAAAATATTACATCTGTTCAAGTTACNTTCACTACTTTGGACAAGTACAGAAGATGATCCACAACATGACGAAACACGTAATTTCTTGTGTGATAAATGTAACGAATCATGTTACAGCATAA